ACAGACAAGCTATCATCAACCCTAAAACAGGGAAGTAGTACAAGTGCAACACTTAGCTTGTAAATTTACTGCTATTTGTTAATAGGGTTGTGTGCATATAGTCAGGCAGTGTTTGCTTACATGCAGTTCCTTGCTGCCAAGTCTCTGTGGACAAACTTCTGCTCTGATAAGTAATTCATACCTCTAGCTATATCCAAACACATTGACAACAAATCCTCCATTGATAAATTCTAACATGAATAATATAATAACCATCAATTGATAGTGTTCTACAGTTATCAATTTAACTAACCTCAGGTAGTATGTTTGGCTCATTGTGTCCTCTTTTCTCAACTAGGAATGATTTGAGGTCCCCATTAGCCATGAAAGGTAACACAATGGCAGGTAGTTGATCCTCAGTATCAAAACACACACCCAATAGCTTGAGTACATTAGGATGATCTAGGCGAAGCATTGTTTCTGATTCTGATATGAATTCTTTGATCTGCTCAACTGAAGAGTGCTCTACAGTAACGTTTGGAACAAAAATTTTAAAGAAAAGAAATAGATTTAACTCACCTTTCAGTGTTTTTATGGCAACATCTTCTATTTCAGAAAGGCTTCCTTGAGAGACTTTACCTTTATAAACTATGCCAAATGCACCTACATTTTTGTGTACATGTATAAAAGTATCAACTAACTGTACCTTCTCCCAATTCACATGTGATCTTAATGGCAGAGTAAGGAATGATGCAGCTTGACGTAAACAAATCAGTGGAATGTATCAGAGAATCAATTGTGAATTTTTCATCACTGGACTCATAATGATCTATATCTAAATTAAAATGATTTTACTGTAACAGTATGTACTTTTTGTTATTTGCATTTCTTCAACTTTCAGTTTCTGTCTTCTACATTAAAATAAGAATACTAGAGATTTTTTAGCATATAATTGTTTACCTTTTCCTTCTTAAACCACAGTAAAGGTAGACAGCAATGATTGTACACAAACAAGTCAAAAAAATTCCCAAAAATATACCAAATGAAAGAGAAAATATAAAAACAGCACCAATATCCTCCTCAGTAGTAGCAGTAGGAGTGGGCCCAGTTGCTATACACTCTCAATAGTAACACAATACTGTATAGTTACTTACTTGCAAATAGTACAGCACATAGTTCCCATGCATGTCCCCCTATAGTGCCACAGTTGATGCCAGTTGAAAGAATATAGAGCTGCCTTTGATTTGATAAGATATATGGCATCTTTCCATACACAAAACATGCTTCATCTTTACAATTTTCATTATCATTGCAAGATACTTCATTTTGTGATTCTGTGATGCAAGACTTAAAGCAATAAATGGTAGCATTCTCATTATTAGTACATGGATAGGAGGTTAGTACTGATGTAATTGGTTCAGGTATGAGAAGGCTCAGTAATGCTGCTGAACAGTAACAACGTGCTTCTAATGGTAAGTAAGGATTCCAGTCAAAATGCACCACTACTGATAGATCAGTGACATTGTCATATGGAACTTCTGATTCACATGTACTACATGAGAAGATAATATGTGAAAGCTGAATATAATTACCATACCTAGTGTAGTTACTTAGACTGATTAACTCACTACAATCTAAATGAAAGTAACAAAAGTTATATTATAAATTCTGTTTTACTCACCTGTCATTGATCTTGCAAACAATGATGCTCTCATACTGACATTAGTAACAATATCTTGTAGAATATCTTCTTGACAGTCAGAGACTGTTAGTATACCAGACACTATCAAGACAAGTATAGGCAGCCTTTCATCACTTAGGATAGGTTTATAAATCATTGTTATAGAGCTATAGGAGAAACAGCTACTGCCAACTACTGGAAGATGAGACAACTGGAAGTCACTGACAACAACTTTCAATATGAGAATTGTGAACTACAAACGTACATAAATGATAATTATAAAACAAACACAATAAACTTTGATTACTTTGCAGTGATGACTCAACCTGTATATCTTACTGTAAGTCAAGTTGCTCTTAGTTCTCTTCCTACATCACAATGACTGAGACTGGTTCACAATGGTGTCAGCTTTAGAAATACTGTCCAGTGTTAAATAGATGTGTGGCTTATTTCATTGGACAATGGACACTTGTAGTTAATCTGTATATACACTAGGCCTATTAGCAAGTTTAAATCAGGCACAATGTATTTTGGACGCATTCATAATAAAGCTTTATCATAGAGCTACTGTTGGCCTACTGGAAGCCATTGAGAGCTACTTTCAATAAGAATTAAAACTATCAAAAGCAGATCATTAAAAGTACACACCAAACATAAACACAACACACAATTCCACTTATTAAATATGCATTTATTTTATTTCTTAATTATTGGTACTAGTCTCATTTGGCAATGTGTACGGTTTTACTGATCCTATTTCTTCATATAAATCTGTAGTCCCTTGGGCAGTCCCTGTTTCTAAAAACTGAGCATAAGGAAGTATAGCTCCTTCCTCTGTCCCTTCCATTGGATCTGGATCAAAATGATTCGTACTGACTGGTACAGAATAAGGCTCAGCTATAGGATCATTGCCCAGACCTTCTGCAAGTGGAACCTTTCCATTCTCTTCTATGTCTTTACTAGCAGCAGACGTTAGTTCTTTTCTTTTAGCGATGACTTCGTCAAGGGTTTCTTCTAGAGTGAAGTACTCGTTTGAGGGCTCGTCCGATTGAACGCTGGACTCTCGTATCAGTGTGCATATGGAACCCACTAGCTCACTGAATGTGGCTCTGTCTTCAGGCTCTAATGTCCAACATGACAGCATCACTTCATACCTGAAACCAGAACAACAGCAAAGAGTTTACATTAGAAGATTTGGATGTATGTGTTCACACTACACATCTGTCAACTGGGCCACTATAGTTGTACACTACATGCTCAGTACAGATAGCATGTGAAGCGGACTAGTTGGATCAACAAACAATTGCAATGAAAACTAACTCGTCAACTAAAATATCAATTGATGGAAGTATAACATCAACAACTATACATTATATGGACATTTATAATCAGACATTATAAGATTCCACTGTTTATTTAATATAATAATGATAAACTATTACAGCAAGAGAACATAATAATTGTATAATTATTATGATAACATGTTCTCTTGACTATAGTCAATATTTCTAAGCACAATTTGCTCAAATTATCAAATACAGTTGCTACAAGCTAATAATGCTTACATTGGTTTTTCACAGAGTGCTGGTTTCTTAAGCCTAGCTCCAGATTCAATGTGATCCAGTACTTCAGCATTGTCGATAGCTGGATAAGGACTACGACCTAAACTGAATATCTCCCAACAGGTAACACCAAAAGACCACTGAAAAAAAATTAGAAATATTACTGTCATTTTTACAACTCATAAAACAAAAAGTGAACAACATGTAATAGCTAGGGGCTTACCACATCAGATTTCTCTCCATATAATCCGTCGTTTAAGCTTTCGGGTGACATCCATTTTATTGGAAGTTTGGCAGCTTTTACCCCCATCCTGTAGTAGTCTCTGCTGTACACGTCTCGAGAAAGACCAAAATCAGCCACGTAGACTGATAGGCCATGATCAACACTGGAAACAAAAACAAACAAAATGTAATCAAGGAAATGATTGATTTGCCATAGCATACACAGGAAGAAAATTCCCATGTTTCTATGTGTACGATAGTGCAGGGTATTTCATTAAAAATGGCTAGGAAAGAATTCTCTATTTTTTTAATTTTTTCTGATACATATACATGTTTTTATGTTGTGTAGCAAGCTTGAGTTGATTCCTATCAAATTTGAATTTTTTACGAATTTTTAAAGTTACTCAAAAATTGTGCCAAAGTCCCTGTACTATTAGTAACGCGGTAGCGTTACTAAGTAGGATTCACCCCCAAACAAAATGGCTGCCACAACTTTTGCAGCCTTGCTATATAGTACAGGGATTTTGACTAAATTTCACCAAAAATGAGTTTAAAAAAATGCTCCATTTTAATAATTTTTTCTGATGCATATACATGCTTTTATGTTGTGTAGCAAGTTTGAGTTGATTTTGATCAAAATTGGATTTTTTTACAAATTTTAAAAGTTACTCAAAAATTGTAAAAATCCCTTTACTAAAGTACAGATACTTTGGCCAAATTTTTCCAAAAATAAAAAAGAGAGAATTCTCCATTTTATAATTTTTTCTGATGGATACGCATCTACTTATGTTATCTAGAAATGTTTGAGCTATACAATTTAAAATGTACTAGTTTTGAACAGAATAAATTCAACAGATTATGCTCACATGCAGTTCCTTGCTGCTAAGTCTCGATGAACAAATTTCTTTCTTGCCAGATATTCCATTCCTTTTGCAACGTCCAGACACATATATAAGAGCTTCACATGATTTAAGTCCTTTGTACGAAGAAAAAGAATATAAAAGAGAATGAGTGATTTAGCCTCACTGGTGGAAAATCATTGTATTTAACGTTTGGTTGCTTCCTGTTTTTCCTAAGGAATGATTTGAGGTCGCCATTAGCCATGAAAGGTAACACAATGACAGGTAGTTGATCCTCAGTATCAAAACACACTCCCAATAGTTTGAGTACATTAGGATGATCAAAGTCCAGCATTACAGCTGATTCAGATATAAACTCCTCAATCTGTTCAGTAGTGGGATTGGCTATATAAAATAATCACATTAATGTAGAAAATTCTTAATAATAATATACTACATTATAAGAAATTATAACTATTGTTTATTGAAAAATAAACAATTTAATCTACCTTTGAGTGTTTTAACAGCAACATCTTTATTAACACTAGCTCCATTCGGGTCTTTCATTTTCATTTCTCCTTTATACACTTTACCAAATGCTCCTATTGAAAAAGAACATTCACACTGAGGTCAAACAGATATTGTAGTATAATACAAACAAACCTTCTCCTATTGCGTCAACACTCATTGCTAGATTCTCTTTCTTTACAATGACAGATGAAAATACTGACAACCAGCGATTATAGCTAGAAATTAAGATAAAATACTAATACTACTACACTATTAATAATAATAATAATGCATGAAACCATGTTTTGATAAGACGAAGAGGACTTACTTTAGCGAGAGAGGGTCGGGTGGTAAAGCCGGTCGGTTGGAGGTCACGTCACTTGCGAGATGTTCCCTAAAAGGCCCAGGCTCATCAAAAACAGCTACCGCAGGTGAGAAACTCCGAGAACGAAACTCCATATCTTCTCTTGATTGAGTAGAAGGAACTAAAGTCAAGAGAATTAAGGAATATTAAAAGTGGATTTATTATACCATCAAAGTTAGTTGAAGATTGCTGCTTAGTGCTAATTCTATATGGCTGAGATGTAACATATGTATGACTAGTGGCTCTGTTTCGCATTTCATAAGAATTACGTCGTTTCCTATCAAAACAAAGGTGACCTCATTATTATTGTAATGGTGAATTACTTTCTTTGCTTAAGAAAGCATACAATAGCAATGAAGACAAAAATAGCTATACAAAGGACAGCAAATACAGCTAATCCTCCAATTGCAATGTAAGCAGCAGTTGGGATAGTAGATGACTGAGTAGGAGAAGGAGAAGGGGTTGATGAAGTGACTGATGATGTACTAGTTGCTCCATCAGAAGTGGTGGCTGGTTCAGTGATAGCACTTGAACCTAATTCAAATCAATAAATTCTAATCCACTGTTAAACTCACTTATAATCATCGTTGGTTGTGTTATAATTGAACTACTACTTATTACTGGATCAGGGCAATCCACTGTATTATTACTTGTAATAACATTATCAGCAAAGCTAGCATCTATATGATAATAATGCTAGTAAAATATCAACACAGTAATAGATATACTTGTATGGTAAGTATTGGTTCCATCAACAATGACTATATCAAACATATTTGGATCATTTGTTCTTTCAGTAATAGTCAAAGTTTTTTCACATCTTTCCATACTCTCGTCATTACCACAACTTGACTGAAAATTGCATAATCCAACTCTAACTCTATTGCAGCAGTTACTATCACTACAGTTATTTATGTCAAATTTGCAAGAAAGGCAAGGTTGAATACAGATTGTGCCATTATATTCAAAATAGATTTGCCGTTCACATGTGTCACTATCCAAGCCACAAGTAAGACTATAGAATGAACATTAATCATAAATTGATTAAATGTTGACTAACTTGAATGTGCCTAAAGTATCATTACCTAGAACAATTAAAAACAACACATAACCATGGATCAATGTTGATATTGTGTCTACGCTATCAGTTAATGTCCCACATTCAACTACTGACAGTTATCATTGATCATTGTGATAGCTTCATTGCTGAGTCTAACACATAGTAATTATAAATAGCTGCACACACTAGTGCAAATAAATAACATAATTCCAATTATAGAGCACCAGTGGAGTACATGAAATTCCCAAGTTAAAGTATAATGCATGTGTTTATCTGCATGACTGACTGAGAAAAATAAGCTGCATTTTTTACAAAAAGCATCATATATCTAATCGTGTTGTATTTATATAAACAATGATTAACTATGTAGTTACTATGCATGTAGTACATACATGCATTACTAGATCTATTATAGCAGAATCATTGGTTCTGAGGAATGTGTTAATGAGCTATGAAAACTACCTAGTGCAGACTGGGTTCAGTCATAATTAACAATATCAGTATTAAAGTTAGCCCTACTGACTCCACTCACTTGCTACATGTTGGGATCCAATCAATAGAAGTAAACTGATAGATAGGAGAAGGGATATCTTTGTATTGGAACCTCTTCTATCCGTCATTGTTTCATTCAGTGTCGAGAAGGGAGCGAGCTGAGCTAGTTCTAATAACTACAATAACTATTAAATATTCATTAAAATTAATTAACATTTTAATTCTAATAATGGCCACTTGCTTGAAGGCTGATGTGCAGGATTTTGAGAGCATTTGGGGGTTGATCCAGGAGTCTGGAGATCAAACTGATAGATGGGTCAGCAAGGAAGGTATGCTTGTAAGAGAAATGGAAATATTAGGCATTTTTATCTTAAATATTAGACCTAAAAGTCCTTGCATTTGGTGAGAAGGATGAGCAACTGTGTGATTATTTTGTAGCAAAGAATGAAGGTAAAAATGCTAAGCTTGCTTTATGCATTAGAAATAATTGTAGGAAGAGTTGTAGCTGTAGCGGCCATCTTTTATCTATATTCTACTTGGGTTGGTAAAGCAATATGTGCAGATGAATTTCTAACTAACTCAGGTCTATATATATCTGTTACAAAAAAACTGTGGCATGAAACTTATGATTTATGAATAGGAGAAGAAGCACAAGATGCAGTACTGAAAGAATTATTTAAAGTAAGCAATGACTTCACATGCTGAAGTAGTGTAGGATTCTGTTAAAAAAATGAACGCTCATTTATGATAATTTATTGATTATAATAATGCTCACTTGTTAATTATAATTATAGACAGTATTGGAAAGAGACTGCCATCGTCTGAGACTAACTTTAAATAGAAGTGACACTGCATTGCTTCAAAGGTATGCAGAATGGGGAGGGAAAATAGAAACGGAGTGGCTAACAGTTAGACTGCCAAAGAATGGTCTGGATCAGTTTGCTAAAGAAGCTTCTAAAGTAAGTTATAAGATTAATGTCTTTATTATTATTACTGTCAATATTTGATAGCTAAATAAACATTATCATATAAGACTTGCTACAAAGGATGATGTACAGAGTATATTGTATCTCATACAGGTATCTGCTTGCATGCTTCATATTGCAGTACTTATTCATAAATATTATAGTGTTTGGCTGAATATGAAAATGACCCTAATGCTGTACAAACTGATGAAGAAAGTAAGAAGTTTGTGTATGTTTTACTTATGATTGTCTCTATGCAGTATTGAAGGAAGATGGGTATGGAAAGGAGTCATACTATCAATGCTTTGTTGCTGAAACAGATTTACTTGATGAGAAAGTGGTACAAACAGGTCAGCAAGAGCATGTAAATTAGCTTATGATTAAAATTTGCTTATTTCTAGAAGCTAATAACTCAAACAAGTATATTATATTAGTAGTTCATTATGCACACATAGCTTATGGTTGTTACCCTGTAATGTGTGCAAGTAATTTTCGAGTTATGAGCATTTTTTAAAATGGGGCATTTTTTGAAAAATACCCAAGGCTATAGCCCATGGTTTTTTCCAAAAAATGGCTCCAAAATCACCCCAAATTTTTATTACATTTTTTGATACATATTGATGTCCTTATGCTGTGTAGAAAGTTTGAGCCGATTCCAATAAAAATTTTTCGAGTTATGGCCATTTAAAAATGGGGCATTTTTTGAAAAATACCCAAGGCTATAGCCCATGGTTTTTTCCAAAAAATGGCTCCGAAATCACCCCAAATTTTTATTACATTTTTTGATACATATTGATGTCCTAATGCTGTGTAGAAAGTTTGAGCCAATTCCAATAAAAAATTTTCGAGTTATGGCCATAAAAAAAATGGGCCATTTTTTGAAAAATACCCAAGGCTATAGCCCATGGTTTTTTCCAAAAAATGGCTCCGAAATAACCCCAAATTTTTATTACATTTTTTGATACATATTGATGTCCTAATGCTGTGTAGAAAGTTTGAGCCAATTCCAATAAAAAATTTTCGAGTTATGGCCATAAAAAAAATGGGCCATTTTTTGAAAAATACCCAAGGCTATAGCCCATGGTTTTTTCCAAAAAATGGCTCCGAAATAACCCCAAATTTTTATTACATTTTTTGATACATATTGATGTCCTAATGCTGTGTAGAAAGTTTGAGTCGATTCCGATAAAAATTTTTCGAGTTATGGTCATTTTTAAAAACAGGCCATTTTAAAAAAATACCCAAGGCTATAGCCCATGGTTTTTTCCAAAAAATGGCTCTAAAATCACCCCAAATTTTTATTACATTTTTTGATACATAATGATGTCGTTATGCTGTGCAAAAAATTTGAACTGATTCTGATTAACATTTTTCCAGTTATGGCCATATTTTATATTTGATATTTTAATACTTTAGGTACACTTTCTGCTAAAATGATACACAATCCAAGAATTATTGGCTTTGCCCTGCATCATATTATGTATTGTAAGAAAAAAGGAAAAGTAATGCATTTGGAAGATCTCTTTGTCCGACAAGAGCACAGAAGTATGTATCATATTTCCAGTACCAGTAGATAAATTTTGATTAACTTTGCATAGAGCGTGGAGTTGGAACAGAACTAATGAGAGAATGTGCCAAAGTAAAGCGAAATGGAGCACAATGAATCTGTTTCTAATTTTACATGATAGGCTGGAGTTCTCTTAGGCTGTAAAGAAATGGATTGGCAAGTACTGGATTGGAATACGAAAGCAATTCAACTTTATGAGAGATTAGGAGGAGTTTTGGACAAAAAATCTATTTTTGTACAATTCAAGGAAGACTGCATGAGAAATATCTTGCAGTGAAAATATCAAGTTACTTTATTAGAAAATTTAATAATGAGAGGAGTGGCATTATGGCCTCTGCCATCATAAATAGTGTTGCCATTGTTGAGTGCTTGGAGGCTAGTGTAGAGGATTTTGAGAGCATTTGGGAGTTGATCCAGGAGTATGGGGATCAAACTGATAGATGGGTCAGCAAGGAAGGTATGAAAGAAATGACAGAATATTAATGGCTAATTTAGTCTTTATATATATATATCGAGTGTAAAACTAAATGATTGGACATGCATTGAGCCTGATTTTCAGGGATTATATGGGAGCTGTGATTAGCATACAGTGAGTTAGACCTTACCTCTATTTCCAGTTTTTACAAGACCCTTATCGCCGGTTTTTGCAAACAGTCAATCATAATATAAAAAACAAACTTAGGTCTAATTGTTAATCATTCGTTACTCCATTTTACAAGATAATATTTTAGACTCATTTTAGGTTTAAAATTTGCAGCTTTTAAAGAGAAATCCTTTGAATACATAATAGCAAAATATAATGGTATGAGTGAATACAATAACATAGCTTGTAGTGTTTATGTTCTTGCTTTGTACACACAGGGAAGGTCGTTGGAATAGCATCTCTGTATTACTTGCATTACTATTGGTATGGGAAGTCAATGTGTATTGATGAGATCATTACATTCAAAAGGTATAAATTATTATACTCTATAGACGTAATGTATGATCATTAAAAGACATCCAGCTGTTAACATTATACTTTAATTGTTTTATATTTAGTCATTTGTTCACAGATGAGGATGTTGTTACATTACTATTACAGAAAGCAATGGAGGTATACTGTAATTGTAACTATGCATCTGTTTAGTATTACTATGATACTAGTCTACTAGATGTGATGGTCCCTATCCAATACTTTAGATTCTGCTGAAAAGAAATTGTCATACACTTTGCTTGATTCTACTTGAAAGTGACTTGTCACAATTTACAAAATTAGGGGGAGAAGTGGAGATAGGTTTTAAAATTCTTAGGATCTCAAAGATTGCCATAAATCAGTTTGCTAAAGAAAAATCAGAAGTAATTATTATTAGATCTAAATAATTATAATGTATTCTAATCATTGTCGAATTTCAATAGCTCAATAAGCATTATCTTATAAGAGCTGGTGTTAAAGAGGACATACCCAGTCTGCTGTATCTCATCCAGGTAGGTATGCACATAATGATGTATGCCACTGTGCTTTAACATGCATGCAGTGTTCAGCAGTGTTTCAAGGGGAACCTTTATTGCTTGATGCCAATGAGAAAAGTAATACATAAAAATGTTAAGTGCAATGCTTGTATATAATTTCAGTGATATCTGAGGATACATTTGATAAGAAACAAATCGGTGCCATCGTTATTGAAGCTGATGCCATAGCATCTGTTGAATCCGATAAAGATAAGTAAATTAATTATCGTTATTCTTATTATTATAATTATTATTGTACATGGTGCAGATGTGTCTCCTGCAGTAGAAATGCCTCACAATCCCAGAATAATAGGCATGGTCTTATATTACACATTCTACTGTAAGAGAAGAGGCAAAGTCCTTCACTTTACAAGACTCTTTGTTAAGGAAAGGCATAGAAGTAATGAAATCATACATTTTATAAATTTATCATTAAACTCTTTATTTAGAGCAAGGACTAGGAACTGAGCTAATGAGAGAATGCACTAAAGTATAATAATAATAATAACATGATTCTGTTACTTGTTCATTGTAGAGAGCTATAATGGAAGGTTGCGAAGAAATTAATGGAAAGATAAATGAGCAAAGTACAAAATTGATCAAGTTTTACGAAAAGCTAGGAGGAGTGATACTCACAAACTATGTGACAATGAATTTTAGCAGGGACTGTTTGCTTGGTTCGCTTAAAATGTAGTTATAAGGTTGAAATAACAGTGAAGAATAATACTGACCGTAGACATGCAAAACAACCTATAAACCTATTATGCTAAAAATCAAAAATAATATATTATTATGACGCGTGCAATGTAGTAAACAGAATCTGTTGAAAACAAGCGGTACAGGTATTATACACAATGCAATTACAATTGGGAGGGAGGGAAATTTATTTTTTTGTATAAGTTATAACGTACATAGGGTACGCTCCTTTGTTTTCATACATTATGTAAAGCCTTGAATCTCGAGTATCACCACACACACAGTCATAGCGCCGCTGGATGCCGCCCTCCTCTGGACAAAGCGGCGGCTGCTCTAGGCTCTCATTAGGCCTTGAATAGTAGGAGCGACCAGTCAAAACATTGACAGCTAACAGTTGACGTGTTGTTCCATTAACAAATGCGTACTCATTCGAATAGGATGCATTGACAGCGAAATAAAGGCCCCTTCCCCAAGGGCCAGGCTGACTGAATTTCATTATGTTAAATCCGATTTCTTCCTCGTAAATGCCGCGAGGATTGCTTTGCTTTGTACCGTAAAAGAGAAGCATTTCTCCAAGCCCATCATCTTTATTATTTTCAATGCATCTCCTTGCACAGTCCATATATTTTGACCAGAGGATTTTATTCTGGACCCGCTCGATTCGGTCAACCGTTGCATCAGGGAGGGTCCTTTTGAACTCCGACGATATTTCTTGGTACTCTGGTGATTGACTGCCAAGGGGCACTATCTTGAAACTTCCGTCAGCTGGTCGATGGTCGTCCCAAAATGAAGGGTACTGAAGTCCTATAATTATAATTGAGTTTGTTTAAAATAATTATATATATGGTGTGGTCTTACTGATGCTCAACCTGTTTTCATTACTGCCCTCATGGATATACGCGTTCTCAGCGTCTCCATTTGTCCTCCCTCTGTTAGCTGGTGAAACGTTGTTTCTCTTTCTGGCTCTATTTCTATAACCATTTCTCCTACCCGTAGTCATGTATCTCCATACGAATATGCAGACGTAGATAGCTTCTATTCCTGCTGTCACAGCAAAAAATACAGCAACATAAAAATAAAAGCCTAAAAATAAGACTCATGGTAACTTTGTGCAAGAGCTAAGGTGCTTACCTGATGCCATTTTGGTGCTTTCAGATTCTGTTTCTTCTCTATCTAAAAGGACAGCGTTTACGCATTACTCCAGCGTTCGTTTAGCCACGCCTACATTAGATTAAAATTAATTTTACCTATGCTACAAAAAATTAATTATGTTGTATATCATCATCAATATTCATCCATGGTAACATTCAAAAATCAAAATAAAGATCATGAGTTTATATGTTCATCTAATGCATGTATATAAAAGATTGCTAATTATACTTGTACGTAATAAGGTACAAAGGATACGCCCTTTCATTATCATATGTAATGTAGACAACAGATCCATTTGCTTCACCCCACACACTATCATAGCGAATCTTAAGTCCTCTCTGCCTTGAAGTCCGAAATGGAGGTTGACGAAGGCTGCTATCAGGCTTTAAGTATTGAGATGTTCCAACAGCAACCATAGCTACCAGAATTTGACGGGATTCCCCCTTTCTATGGGCATACTTGTCTGAATAAGAAGCATTTACTGCAAAATAGTTGCCCTTTCCCCACATTCCTACTTGACTCATTCTCATGTCAAATCCTGAGTCTCCTCCATATATTTCGCTCGGATCATTTTTACGGGTTCCATGAAATAGCAGCTCCTCCATCTTCCTCCCACTGTATTCTTGTGTTCTTGCAGCACACTGTTCATACTTCTCCATCAAAAGCCTGTTCCAAATTTTGTCGACGCTTACAATTGCATACTGCGACATTGGCATTGTCTCATGAAATATCTCAGCAATATTGCAAAACTCTTGTGAAGTTGAGGGCAGAGTTATCATTCGAAAGTCACTAGAATTTCCTTGGCGTGTGCTTCCGAATAGTATCGATTCTCTCTTTTTGGAATTCCTTTTTCCGGTTGTTTTGTATCGAAATAGAAATATAGAGATGTAGAATGCTTCAATTGCTGCAGTTACCAGAATGAATATCAGTACTGCACTCCAGACTTCTGCATATGAAGGAATACAAAGAACAACAGCATTATGTGCATGCAAACCTTTGGACTTACCCAGCGCCATTAGTGTTTGTTTACTTGGAAACTAGAGGGTGGAAATTTTGCTGAGATATGTTACAATGGCGGGGAGCTGTAGTGCGCATGCGCAATAAAATGCAAAAGTAGGTGTGTCCATCTAGTGTTGTTTAGTTACCAAGATACCAAGTGTGGTAGGAAAAAAGGATAAACAAAAAGAAGGAAGATTTAGAAGAAAATGTCTTACAGAGAACTAAGGAATTTCACTGAAATGATGCAGACCCTGGGATATCCCCGTATCATATCTATGGAGAACTTCAGAGAGCCCAACTTCACACTTGTGGCAGAGATCTTGATATGGCTGATACAGAGATACGATCCAACGGCTGAAATAGTGACAGACGTAGACACAGAGCAGGACAGGGTCTTATTTATCAAATCAGCCGCTCAGTTTATGTCCACGAAGGCACACATCAAGCTGAACACGAAAAAGCTCTACGGTGCAGACGGATATGCTGTCAAGGAACTACTGAAAATATCTTCACTTCTCTACTCTGCCATGCGTTCAAATGATGACAAGGAAAGCAAAGATAGCAACGTGGCTAGCTCCTTTCACTCTTCACTTACTAACAAGATGACTGATCTCAAGGCTTGCAGACAATTGGCATCAGAGATCACAACTAAAGGGGCCAGCCTTTACCAGCTGCTGGGACAAGAAGTAGACTTAAGGGAAGCACGTCACACAGCCATTTCCCGACCGGTGGACATTGATTCGATCGAGAAAGGGATAGAGAGAAGTATAGAAGCAGTAAACGACGAAACGGCTCGAATGAAGCAAAGGATGGATAATGCTGCAAGCGATGAGAAGACACTTGAAATCAAAATAGAAAAAAAGGGCCAAGAGTTGGAACGAAATCAAAAGCGTCTCAAGACACTCGAGAATGTCCGACCTGCTTTCATGGACGAGTACGAGAGGCTAGAGGGAGACTTGAAACAAGTATACGAGATGTATATGGAGAAGTTCCGCAACCTCTCCTACTTGGAGCAACAGCTTGAAGACCAGAGAAAAGTGGAGCAAGACATGGCTGAAGAAAGAGAGAGCTCTCTCCTTGAAATGAAAATGCAATTGCAGCAGGAGAACAGGCGGACTCTAAATGACACCATGGGTGTCACGTCACAGGACAGCATGGTTGACATGGAGTCAAAGTCCAGGTTCATCGGTAATATGACTGGAGAGGGTATTGCTAGCGATGATGGAAGCGCATCTCTTTCCACTGGTAGCAGAGAAGATGAAGACCCACTGCAGGATATGCAGGAGGAAGAGGAAGATGAGGAGGAAGAAGAAGAAGAAGATGATGAAGAGAGGAGAGAGTTTGCTGAAGGAGATTCGGACGAAGATTTTTAGACTTATTTAAACAATACTAGTAATTATCATTATTATTATTATTATTATTCATTATTAAAATTAATAATCATTACATTAAAGTCAAGAGCTAAAATTGCCATTTTTTATAAAGAACCATGGGCTATTATAGCCTTTACTTTTTTCAAAAATTGGCCTGTTCTACAAATACTCATAACTTGAAAATTATTTGTTGAAAATAGCTCAAACTTTCTACACAGCACAAGTGCATCGATATGTATCAGAGAATGTAATAAAATTTGGGGTGATTTCGGAGCCATTTTTTGGAAAAAACTATGGGCTATAGCCTTGGGTAATTTTCAAAAATGGCCTGTTTTTAAAAATGCTCATAACTCGAAAAATTCTTATCGGAATCGACTCAAACTTTCTACACAGCAAAAGTACATCAATATGTATCAGAAAATGTAATAAAAATTTGGGGTGATTTCAGAGCCATTTTTTGGAAAAAACCATGGGCTATAGCCTTGGGTAATTTTCAAAAAATGGCCCATTTCTAAAAATGCTCATAACTCAAAAATTTTTTATCTGAATTGACTGAAACTTTCTACACAGCATAAGTACATCAATATGTATCAGAAAATGTAATAAAAATTTGGGGTGATTTCAGAGCCATTTTTTGGAAAAAACCATGGGCTATAGCCTTGGGTAATTTTCAAAAATGGCCCATTTCTAAAAATGCTCATAACTCAAAGTTTTCTTATCGGAATCAACTCAAACTTTCTACACAGCATAAGGACATCAATATGTATCAGAAAATGTAATAAAATTTGAGGGTTGATTTGACAAAGACAAAAAGCTCCACTCTGTCTGCAATGTTGATGTCAATCTTGCATAATTATCAATAAGAATATTAAATAATGTATTACTTTCACTCTTGGTTTCAACTATTCACACGACATAGTACTACATGATTCACTAATTGATAACAGGACAGAGTAGCAGTTGTATTTTATCATAACTGTCTCTCTGTTATCAGAGTGCTGCTCTGGACCATGGCTGCTTATCTTCTTGTTCTGTGGTTGCTTCAGTTTCCAGCAGTATATGGTGATAAACTCTATGTTGCTAATGATTGCAGTGAAATATCGTCAAACTGCCATAACCTCTCTTATTATACAGGTGACCCTTCTCTTTATTTCTCTACTGATACAACCCTGATATTCCTTGAGGGAGTCCATTACTTGTATGAGCCAGTTACTATCAGTGGAGTATCTAATATGACACTACAAGGAGAGGGGGTCCTACAAGATGGCAGTCATTGGACTGTAAGAGAGTCAACTGTCATAATACACTGCCTCAACTCTGAGGCTGGTCTATCCTTTATCGATTCCTCTGTTAGCATTAGCAACATTTCGTTCTACAATTGTGGTAGACCAGTTGGCAATGACACTCTCAGCTCTCTATTGGAGCCATACTACGATGGTCTCTACAAGACTCGGTTTAACCTTGAGTCCTACACTGACCTCCAAGCAACCCTGATATTTTTTAATTCGACTAATGTAAGCCTTGATCAAGTTTCCCTCCAGAAATGCTCTAGTTTTTGTATCTTTAGCTTTAATACTCAAAATATGACAATCCTCAATTCTTACGTATCTCACAGCAGTCAAAACATATTGTCAGAGTACAGGTGCTGCAGTGAAGAATCAAGTAACAATCCAAAATGTAGCGGAGGGAACATGATTCTGTTCTATCTTGACAGTGACTCAGACGACATAGCCCCAAGCACAATAAGTTATAATTCATTTATTTATAACAGTATTTTCTCTTTTGGTGCTGGTCCACTAAACAATCGCTCAAAAGCAATGAGCTCCATCACTCTTATTGATATTACTGTACATCACGTTACGATATTTCTCGATTCTGTGATACTCTTTCAAAACTTGGGCGGAAACTTTATCGCACTTTCTGGCAACTCTTTGTTATGGTTTTATAACGTCACCTCAGAGGGTGCAAATAGATACACGTGTAGCAGAACCACACCCATGGTTTCGTTTGATATATCAATCACAAATCAAATTGGATTTCTTCCAAATTACATGGAGCAAGCAGAGGATGTCAATCACACTGTTACCATTCATTTTAATGAGAGCCTTTTCCTTGGTAATATAGCTCAGGATTCATCAGGGATCAACATAGACACTAGCCTAATTGTACCATTTCTACCAATCAAGAGCAAATACTATGCATTTGTACGCAATTCAGTGTTTTCACAGAACAGAGGTTCCTTTGGCTCTTGTATTGGAGCAGGTGGGACCACTCCAGTCTCTGCTGTTACTCTCATTCTTTTCATGTTTAATGTGACGTTTGATGAGAATTATTATCAACAAAAATCCATACTCTATGATGCCAGGAACATAACCAGCCCTTATAGAAATGTGCCTCCTTGCTGTCTTGCATTTGGCAACGTAGTCAATGCAACATTCATAGATGTTAGCATTTCTAATCACAAAACCCTGGGAGTGTATGCTTATAATACACGAATGCTATTCATAGGTGACAACGAGATAAAGAATAACACTGGGGTCCAAGGAGGCGGAATGATGCTCCTGGGTACTTCAGCTATCGTCATGATCTCATCAGTTTTACGTTTTACAGACAACAAGGCAGAGCGTGGAGCAGCGATATTCATTACTCCGCCAGTTGTGGCTTCTTATAGTTATCCTTTCTGCCAGTATCAAGTGGGCGATAGTTTGAGCAACTCTAGCTCATCCATTATATTCTCAGGGAATAGAGCCTCCATCACTGGTGACATTATTTATGGAGGAGACGTTGATAATTGTTTCTTGTTTACAAACTTAGGGATAACACTAAGTGATTTAAATATCAATGGACTTTTTGTTTACAAAGGAGAGGAAAATCCCCGTTACTCTATCTCCTCTGATGCAATTAAAGTTTGTTTCTGTTTCAACGAAGAGAGTTTCTGTAATGTGTCAAAAATAACAACACCCTCCATATATCCTGGTGAAAGTGTCAATGTTAGTGTGGCTACAGTGGGTGATACTGAAGGCTATACCACTGGTAAGATTAAGATATGGCACGAAGGAGTCAATGTCAAAACAGTCTCCAATGAATTGCCAAGATGCTTCAATTTATCTATACACAGCAATGAATTGATTGGAAATAGCTCTAATGAAACACTCATTCTGGTAATCGATGACCCATACAACGGTGACGACATAACCAGTATTAGTCTTGCTGTGCCAATATTGAATTGTCCTCCTGGTTTTAGGCCTTTAGGATCAACCTGTGCGTGCGATACTGCCATAGATTCCCTAGGTACTGGTGTTGTGTGCTCCATCCAAGATCAGCTAATATATCATAGGGATGACGCTTGGATTGGATATTCCAATACAAGCAACTGTGTACTAGTCTCTGATCACTGTCCTTTCGATTACTGTAGAAACTCTAACGTTTCCTTTAATATATACCAGCCAGATGCACAGTGTGCTCTTGATAGATCAGGAGTATTGTGTGGAGGATGTGCTGAGGGTTTCTCTATAAAGCTTGGTTCCAATGAATGTGGTCAATGCTCCAATAGTTACTTGTCTCTGTTACTAGTGTTTGGTATAGCTGGTGTAGTATTGGTTATATTTCTCATTTTACTCAATCTCACTGTTACCATTGGTACCATAAATGGACTCATCTTCTACGCTAACATTGTCAAAGTCAATCAACCGATATTCTTTCCTAATGGTCCTGTTACATTCCTGAGCCAGTTCATTGCCTGGCTTAATCTTGACCTAGGGATTGAGACTTGTTTCTACAATGGGATGACTCCTACGCATAAAGTATGGCTGCAGTTCGCTTTCCCATTCTACATATGGGTAATCATTCTCGGTGTCATCATTGCCTGTAAATATTCCAAAAAGATAGCTTCACTTGTTAGTTCCAATGCAGTCCCAGTGCTAGCAACACTCTTCCTCCTCTCGTATGTAAAGATCATTCGTACATACATACTAGCCCTCAAAGTATCAAAAATTAATTGTGGGTCTACGGTTAACTCGGTGTGGGCCGTCGATGGAAACATTTCCTATTTCGGCAATTCACATATCTGGCTGTTCCTGTTCTCAATACTGGTTCTATTGGTAGCGGTCATCCCTTATACAATATTTATCACCATCCTCCCTCTTCTTGAGCGATATCCAAGAGTCTGTGGAAAAGTATGGCTCAGTTTCCTTAAGCCGATATCTGATGCCTATTGTGGGCCTTTTAAAGATAAGTTTAGGTTTTGGGCTGGCCTCCTCCTTCTCATTAGACTTATAATAGCAAATACTGTACCTTTCCTGCCTCAGACTGGAAGACTGTTGCTGATCATTTTCTTTGTTTCTTTTTTGATTTTCTTTTTCGTTGAAACCGGAGGCCCCTACAAGCTATGGTACCTCAATCTACTGGATATTTGGTTCTTTGCTCACTTGCTCTGTCTCTCGGCCCTTGCTCTCAGCGGAGACTCTGAAATAGGTACCATAGTCTCCGTTAGCCTCTCATTTGGGACATTCCTAATAATAATGGCTAAGCATATTTATAGTCGCTTGACTGAGTATACACGTTTTAAAACATTGAAATCAAACTTGGTCAGCACTTCCAGTTTGCCAAAGGTAACTGCTAGAAGAATGACAGATCCTTTTGAGCCACGCAGTGTATCCAATGATTACAATCGCTACAGGGACTCCATACTAGCACTAGATGATGAAGACTAACTAGATTATATATATACCTATATATGTATATATATATTGTGTGTGTATTTTCAAATCCTAACTAAAATATTATTGTAATAAAAAGTGATTGACTTCCATTTTAAAAATAATGATATATTCTTAAGCTGTTGCTTTGTGTGGTGATGCTTTGTAGTAGTCCTATCACAACTTGTTATCACAATAGATGGACAAAAGAGCCTCCTCCTCCACACAATTGCAAATGGAGCCTCAGTACAACTTGTTCTTCATCTTTCTCTTTGCTTTGAATCCAGTCATAGCTGATGAATGGGTTGTGTCTCCTACTG